GAAACTTCAAATTCTAAGCAGTTTGTAATAATTGCTATTGCTGGAAGACACAAGGGACTGAATACAATATATATTAAGCCTTACTTGTTTCATCAAAGCAAATTGGAAAGAGAGGTTGAGTTACAAAACACACATATAGTTTTTTCAAGTCACCAAGAGATGTTTTACAAATCAATACATTAAGTCAACAACTAGGTCAAGGATCACAGTTGAAAGAGTGGTATAATGATGCAACATCTACTCTTTATGGTCATTTACTCAATGATTTAACTCCAAAAACACTTGATTCGCTAAGATATTGCCCAAACAGCGGTTCAGTTCCGTCAAAATTCTATTTACCAGCAGGAACAGAAACAAATTTTTTGACGATGACCATACAATACTCCTTTTTTGTTTAGCATACAAAACGCGTACAAAATTTTTCCGAAAACTTCAGAAACAACTCATCCTCCTATTGTCCAAAAATTTCATTCAGTTCCTCAGCAAATATTTTATAAAATTGCTACAAAGTGATCTAAAAGATCTTCGGAAAAAGAGACGTAGTAAAAAATTGAAGAGAAATATCAGAACTCACACGAAAATGAATTTCACTGCTTTAAAGGAGAACTATTTTAAGCTCGTCTATAGGCTCACAATCAATATCTCTTATCAATCTTTTTTCCTTAAGCGATTGACATAGTATGGACCAGTTTGTTCTTATTCTTTACTCAATTTATCAATCACAAAGTACACTTCCAAAAAAAATTGGAACAACGCGAGAAAAAGAGGAGGTTGTACCAAATTTTTTTTCATTCTATTCTCAGTGCTGTAAAAGCGAGGTTGAATTAGAGTATCAGTATGCATCTTATTGATTTTTTAATTTTGATTTCTCCTAGAACTAGATTAAATCAGTCAAAAATTATCATATTAGATAATTTGTGGGCTTTGTCTTTGCACTAAAGCGAAAAAATACCGACTTTCTAGATCTTTACTTTACCTTTTTGGAAGCAATTCAAATTCCACCCAAATTTAATATCAACAAGAACGCCAAAGAAGAAGACAATATCAAGAACGCCAAAGCGAAATATATCAATGAAAATTGGTGTGGGTACATTGCTTTTGTGGACAAACTATGGAGTCAAAACAACAAAATTAAATGTTTTTTGGTTGCTGTTGATGTTTTTTCACGATTTGTCAGAGTTCAAACAATGAAACCAAAATATGCCAAAGACACTTTGTAAGCTAAATAAAAAAACTCTCGAAAAAACCTTCCTGAAAGTTTTGGGTTGATAGAGGAACAGAATACGGGGTAACTTCAAAAAGTGTTACAAGGCGAAAGACATTAAAGTTTATTCAAATAGAGTGAAACAAAAGCTGCATTTGCAGACAGAGCCATTCAACCATTAAAACATATAATTTACCGCTACAGAGAAGATTATGATGAATAAATTTTACACAAGTTACCTCAGTTTGTGTCTACAAAGAATTGCCGCTTCAAAATATCTATTAAGAAATCACCTAGAGATGACAAAAATACTGATTTCCTCTGAACTCTGTGCAAAAAACCTCTTATAAGGTATAAGAAACCAAAATTCAAAGTTGGAAATAGAGTGAGAATTTCAAAAAGAGATATTCCTTTTCGAACGGGATACAAACTACAATTTCCAGAAGAAGTTTTTGACATTTTGAAAAGATTCAACGCGTTCCAAGATAGATTTGGCTCCCAATGGTTGAACGTGATCCCGTGCAAAAATTTAAGGTTATAATGTCAAACCAAAAATTCAGTGTTGCAATAGGACTTCGATTAGGCGCAAAAATAAGCGAAAGACATAAATGCGTGTGCGGAAACGGCATAAATTTGTGTTACCGAAGATGGTTGGCATGGTCTTTCTTGCCTCAAAAGTGCAGTGAGATTCTCTAGGAATTAAAACCTGAATGCAATATAAAGCAGAGTTTATCTTCTACTCACATTTTGTCTGTTTTAGAATCACGACATCTCTACAGGACCGATCAGAAGCGACCAGATGGTTTGACGCTCTGTGCCAGTCACTCATATTTGGAAATTTGACCTTGAGAAAACGTTTAGTCTTGATTTTGGACTAAAATGGAATTTTTTAAAAATTTGAATTGAACTTGTCATAATCAAGGTTCTAACGAAAACTGTAAATATCAGAAAAATAAGATCAGAAGATTCGAACTACAATCGCGGCAAAGTAGTCAAAAATAGCAGCGGGAAATTTCTATTCGCAATTTCCGATGTATAGTTCGAACGAGAGTAGAGCTGCCTTATTCTTGGCAGAAGACAGAGCGATTACGCGTGGAGAGGAAGTAAGCTAGAGTGGACCAGAGTGAACCTTCGGTAGAAAGGTGGACAGCTGAAGCTGCCCAATGGTCCAGATCAAAAACTTGTTTCTCGCGTTAAACTTAGTTACCCAATCAGTTCTAGAGTTGCTTTATAGTTTAGTTACTCGATTTTAGAGGTCTTGTCCGTAGGTGAGTACCTAATTTATTTTTCTTGAGTGTGTTTTAAATTGTTATGCTGAGTTAGGGAGAGTTTTTAGGCTGATCCATCTGAAATAGATCAAAGGACCACTGTCTAATAAAAAGTAAATATACATAAGGTTCCGACCCTGTTTTTAAGGGCGTTGGTGAATTTTAGGTATTTTGAGACCTGTGTATGGTGGCGTTCTTATTTTCTAGAGTGGGGGTATTTTGGTAGTGACCTCTAAGCTATAAAACGGGTTTTAGTCTCATGTCGCAAGTGAACCGAATTGGCTCCGACCGCTTGAGGTAGAAAAACACAAGAGATAGTGTTCCTGACTTTTGAGCCAATGGTTGTTGGGCCTGTTTTTTTATAAATCTCATATGTGATTTAAGTAGGCGACTGTTTCACTCATTCCATGGGCTGTTGGTAAGCAGCTCTTGTGAGATGTAACGGTAGTAGACTCCTTAGCTATTTTTAGGATTAATGCTGGGTATGTTTGTAACCCTGGTACGGCTGCCGCTGAAGCGGAAGAGCAAAAAATTGACAAGTATGAAGATCTAGTAGATGATGGGTATCTTTTTCAACCGCTAGTTTTTGAGATTCAGGGCGCGGCAGGCCCAGCACAGAAACATTTTTGAGCAAGCGTTGTAAGAACCTAAGAATATGCACTGTGGAACTCAGAGCAGGCAACTTTTTAAAACAGAGAATCTCCCTGGCAATACATAATGCGAACGCGGCTTGCGTTACTCGGAACAATAAATGACATAAAAAAACTTTCGACGAAAATTTTTATTTGCAACACTTGTACATTATTTTCTCGTGTCGATTTGCGTATTCTTTTTGAAGAAAGGTAACCACTATCGATTTCAATTGTAAGGACATCAACCCTTGTCATCTTCTTTAAACATTATCACTTCCATATCTAGAAATTTCCTTGTATTTTGACTGGGATACGTGATGAAGGGACTCCTGACTGTTGCTATGATACTTTTGACCTTCTGATTACCTTAAAAAAAGAAAAAGAAGAAAAGCGTAGAGGTAAGGAAGCAGACCTGAAAAAGAGGGTTCGAACCTGGGCAGGGTCGCATGTTTTTGATGAATTTTTTTGTATACTAGTTTAAATTCGTTCGCTGTGTAAATTGAGGCATAATCATTGGTAATTTTTTCCCAATTGACTGGTACTACTAATGCGTCGTAATTGGCTTGCGTCACTTAGCATTTATGTAGACTCATAATTGGCGTGCGTCCTTTAAGAAATTTGTTGGACTCGGTTATCGGTCATATTTTTGCTTGTGTATGCGAAGTTGTGCCAGTCGGTCATATTTGGAAGTTTGACCTTAGATAGATTGATAGATACTTAAATTAGTTATAGAATGACATCTATAAATCGTAATAAGACATAACAACTTAAACTATATGTCATGAAGTCTGCGCAGCAGGCGATAAGGAAATATTTTCATTTGCCTCTCCATCTTACAGCGAGCAATAGGTGGATCACGACAGCGCAGGTTGTTTGCTGAGTAGGTAGAACGTGTCGGAACTAAATCAAACAACAGATGATCAGAACCTGTTTGGAGGATTGCATCGTAGAGTTTTTGGTCACCTTGAGGAATACGAACCACGTAATTTTGGGATGAAATTTAATTTTTCAAAAATTCGAATTGAGCCTGTCATGCTCAATTTTCTCGCGAAAACTGAAAATATCAGAAATACAAGATCAGAACAACCGAATTACAATCGCGGGAAAGTACTTGAAAAATGCAGCGGGAAATTGCTATTCGCAATTTCCAGATATAAATCAAACGCGAGCAGAGCTGTCCTGTCCTGAATAGGAAGCAGAGCGATTGTAAACAGAGCAAAGACAAAGAAGAAGTGAAACAGAGTGAACCCTCAGTGGAAAGGTGGACAGCTGGGGTATCCCAATGGTCTAGTTCCAAAACTTAGTTCTCGAGTCAAAATTTTCCCTTGCTGGAATTTATTAGTAGCAAACTTCTCAAGTTATTATACTTAATGCTAGAGTTACTGATTAATTTAGTTATCCCAATTCTCGAGTGTGCCGACATGTGAGTACTCAATTTAGTTTTCTTGAGTGTATTTTATGATTGTTATGTTGAGGTAAGGAGAGTTTTAGGTTGATCCATCTGAAATGGATCAAAGTTTCACTGTCTAATAAAAAGTAACTGTACGGACTGTTCCGACCCTGTTTTTAACGGCGTTCGCGTATTTTGGGTATTTTGAGACCTAAGTATGGGGACGTTTTTATTTTCTAGAGTGGGGGGGGGGGCTTATTTTGGTAGTGGCATTTAAGCTGTAACGGGTTTTTAGTCTCATGTCGCAAGTGAACCGAATTGGCTCCGACCGTTCGAGGTGGAAAAACAGAAGAGATAGTGTCCCTGACTCTTGAGCCAATGGTTATAGGGCCTATTTTTCTTTAACCTTATATGTGACCGAAGTAGGCGACTGTTACAAGTGCAACTTCGCCTCTGTGTCCAACCCTTATTGTTTTAGTGAATTTTTGTGATATTTGAGTTAGCTCTCTTTCTAGAGTATGAGAAGATGCACTGGAAATTCTAATGTTGAACTCATTTCACGACTATGCGCTGAAAAAGTAATCACAAATGACAGAGTACAAAAGACTATGCTCGAAGTCGATCGACAGTTTTATGCCACGAGATGTCCATATGTCGATTCACCTCAAGGTATAGGCTATGCTGTCACAATAAGTGCGCCTCATATGCATGCGTTTGCTCTGTCAACTTTAGAGAAACAGCTTAGACCTGGAAAGAATGCTCTTGATATTGGAAGTGGCTCGGGATATTTAACTGCTTGTATGGCCAAGATGGTTGCACCAGACGGAAAAGCTACTGGAATTGATCACATTCCGGAACTAGTGCAAAAAGCTCGGGGCAACATTCTCAGAGGGAACCCCGAGCTTTTAGATGGAGGCTGCCTTGAAATAGTTGTTGGTGATGGACGCAAAGGTTACGAACGGAATGGGCCATACGATGCCATTCATGTTGGTGCCGCTGCTCCTGAAACGCCTTCGCATTTGCTGTCCCAATTAGCGCCAGGAGGTAGACTTCTAATCCCAGTGGGGCCTCAGGGTGGAAATCAAGTTATGATGCAATATGATAAACACCAATCTGGAGAAGTGACATCTACTAAGCTGATGGGCGTAATATACGTGCCTTTGACGGACGCTAAGTCTCAATGGCCATCTGCCGGGTTAAATCAGTGAAATTATTGTTTATAAACTAGTATCGCTTATTGTAAATTGTTTTCATTCGACTAGTTTTGGTTCTATGTAAATTAGGCTGAGGTTTATACTCAGAATTGTTTACATCGTCTAGGTTTTTTAGTAATTTAAAAAATAATTGATGAAAAATGTGTTCACTTATTCCTTCGCAATTGAGAATGTTAATCCTCGTTATTGTTAACCTGTGCCAGCCCATACCCAAGGCGAGATTCGAACATAAAAAAGTTTTCAAAATTTTTTCTGTCGAAAAAAAACGTTTTTTTTTATTTTGGTTTAATTTCGATCTAATAAGGTGAGCGTTTAGGTTTACAAAAGTTTATTACCCTTGCCATAAGTATTGAAATCGGGTACTTAATTTTTAGCCCGTGAATAATTTCACAGAATTGTCAAAATTAGAACCGGAAAATTCAGGTCCACTCATAATAAATTCAAAGTTTTTAGGGTATCCGGCACACTTGGTTTGAAGTTAACCAATACGCCTGGGACGGCAAAGGCCTTGGGTTCGAATCTGACAGGACCTGTTTTTTCTTTCAATACTCCGTTACAAAAAATTTTTTGATAATTTTTTGTTATTTGTCTGCTTATGTTTAGTCAGCTTAGTTGCCACATCTTAGAATTGTTTTTTGTTTTTGCTGTTAGCAACTTACATTAGTTAATTTAGTGTTTTGATTTTTTCGGCTATTTGTATTTCGGCGTATGCTTTATCGGCATACATAAAGCTTTATCGGCATACATAAAGCTTTATCGGCATACATACGTACTTTCAAAGGAAACAATTTTAATACTCCCCTTTGGACTGCACAAAATGCTAAAAATCTTAAAATGCAAGTTTATCAGGACAACAATGTATTTTTTTTTGTTCCGCTTGATTTTGGCTTAATGGCCTCATCTCATATTGCGTCTTTCGACGTGCGAAAACATATGTATGTGCGTTTGTGTGTGTTTTGAGGAGGAGGGGGACGTTTATTACTCATGTTATAATTTTTTCGATTTCTTTTTTTTTTGGGCTTCATATGTTTCAGCCTATATTATATCGGCGTAGTGACCTCATATTGTTCATTTGACAAGCGAAAAAAAACTTATGTGTTGTGTTTGTTTTGAGAGTGGGTAGGGCTTAATAACTTTTTATAAGTTTTAAAAGTCTTGTTGATTTCTTTTGGCTAAAAAGGCTTCTGCTAATGTTTTTTTTTCGGATTTGTTACCGGTTGGTAAATTTGCTTCCGATTTAGATTTCCCTTCCGAAAAGCAAGGGTTTTGAAATCGGCACTAGACTTTTTTCCCATAAATAACTTTGTTCATAGGGCTCATTTTATCTCTTAGACTCCTTCATCATCTGACATGCTCAATTTCTTGAAACTTCAACTAAACTACTATAACTTAAGAAGTAATTAGGTCAAGCCCGTTTCAAAATTTAATTTTGTATTCCAGAAATTTATCAGATTTTTTTATGGGTTCTTGGTTTTCGTCCTAGATTCTGTTGGTTCATTTTCCGTTTTTTTTTTTAAAAAACCATTTTTCTATCTGATAGTTTTTACGGGTTTCCTTTCTGTTTCATGTGTTTCATTCTAATTTAGACAGTTTTTGAAAAAAATTGAAATTTCAGCAGTTTGTAAATTTACCAGGTCTGATTTTTTTTTCTAAATTATTTGTTCCTTTTTAGTATTTGAGCTGTTTCAGTTTTTGTTGTATTGGCTCAGTCAACGTATATTGCATAATTTTGAGAGCAGTTGTATACGCATGCGATTATGTGTTTCAGATTGGATGGGTCGTAAAAATTTTCATAAAGTTTCATGAATGGCAACAGTTTTGTCTTCATGAAGTTTTTTATGGCAACAGTTTTGTTTTCGGTTCAAACAGGTTTCGACCCTAATTTTGTTGCCGCTCGGTGATTGATTTTCATTTTTTTTCAAGGCTTTTAATGAACTTCTTGAAGTTTTTTTATGGCAAAAGTTTTGTTTTTGGCTCAAACAGGTTCCGATCCAAAATCTGTTGCCGATCGGTAATTGGTTTTAATTTTTTTTCAAGGCTTTTTATGAACTTTGTTTATATAGAACCAGCTGTGTTTGTAGTTGTATCTTTTTCAAGTTACCCAAGAAATTTTTTAAACATTATTATTTCGGAATTACTTCGCATCGCTAGTGTTGCGAAGCTCGGCTTCCCCTGTGTTTCACATTGTTGTATTGGCCTGTTCTTTTTGCAAGCAAGCAAGTATAGGGTTATAAATTATCGAATGGAAAATTAAATTGAAACCAATAAAAATAGTAGCGAAAAATGTTGAAAAAACTACATTTACATAAATTTCATAAGCCTGTCTCGATGATTTTGAATTTCATGATAAACAGTCAAGAAACGTAATAACAAGATCGGCGCGAGTTTTTTAATTAAGTTGCTCCTGTGTACACTTTTTTCAGTCGCTGAAAATCTGACTGATCTGTTCTAACTGTTTCCTTGTTGACAGCACGTTAGATCTCATGAAGCCAGCCAAAGGGACTATCAACCGTCGAAAAATGTTGATTGATTAGCCATCTGATTTAAACCGATATCTAAAACCGATTAGCAATCGGTTTGCGGGGTCCACTTACCAAGAACGCTCCACGCATGACCATTTAACAAAGACAAAAACGACCTTTCAGAAGTTTGCATCGGCTTTGATGTCGAGAAGAATTGGTGTCAAGAGTTCTATATTCGGGTCCGCCCCTACTTCATATAAGCTTCAATGTCATGGTGTAACGAGAATTTTTTTAGGTTTAAACCTTCAGATCAAAAACGTTCGCCATGGCCTACTAGTTCGCATGCCAATTTTCGTAACGTTTGGATAACGTAACAAAATTTCACTAGTAAGTAAAATTATGCTGGTGGGGGCGAAAAGGAAAGAAAGCCAAATTATAAGGAAGGGTATGGTTTTCTTGTTTATGCTCCTGACTAGAAGTTTTTACCTAATATCTCAAAATGTTTCATGACGACTGCTTGCGTCGACCTAGCTGCCTCTCGATAATTTTTTTGATTGTTTATTGAACACTGGTGATTGTTTTTCTGAACTTTTTTTTCTAAAATGGAACGTCCTTCGAGTTTTCATGTAGTTTTTCATTGTATTGATTTTATTGAAATCGACTTATGGGTTCCGCCTCATTTTCTGTCCGCTAGCTCTTGATGATTTTTCTTTGTGGTATCGCAATTGGATGGATCGCAAAATTAGGACGTGGTTCCAGATAATTTTTTTTCTGTTGGCAGACTAAATTAAAACAATTTGAATGATGGACTTTCAAATTTACTTTTACTTCAGTTTCAACCTTCATTGGCGAAAATTGATTGCAATCATCCGTGTTCGATAATACAGCTAATTCCTCAAAATTCATCAAGAAGTACAAGATTTTGTTGTTGATTTTTGCGTCCGAAAAGTTTGGGCGACTTGCGAATCGACTAGTGTATTCCATGGTTTGATTTTGTTCAGTTGAATAATTTAACGAAAATGATCGCCTTTTTTTCCTCCGAACTCATGAAGTTATACTAGGTTTATTTTTAAAATTTTTTTTCAAAAACTTAGAAAAAAAAATTATGTACTTTTTTTCTCAATGTTATTGTCTGAACTGCCTTTCAATGGTACAAGGCCTAAAAGTTCCATCTGAATAAGCAATGTATTCGTTCTGAAACATTAACTTAGGAGAAATCGTAAAAAGAGGAAAAAAGTTAAAATCGCAATTTTTTATTTTCTTTATTTTTAGTTATTATTTTTTTAATCATTATTTTCTTTACTTAATCTCATGAAAGTGCAGAGGTGCTATGCAGTTATGGCAAGTTCCTTGGCAGGCAGCTTTCGTTTGTTTTTGAATATCACTATAATTAATTTGAAATAAACTTAATTTCGAGCGCGTTTATCTTTTCAAGGGCAGACTCATAGTGGGCATTTTTGATGCCCTTTGTCTGTCCTCTCTACGTTTGCATTAAATTCAATAAATTTCTTTCATATTTGTTTGTTGAATTATACTGAAGCATAATCGATTTTGTTTGCAAATTTAGGAATAAATTAATCTTCTTCTAGGTTTAGTATGTCTGATTTTATCGAAGCTCCAGAAACCGTGAAAGCTATTATTTATAATGGACGAGGATTGAAAAGCAGAAAATCTGACGTGTTTGTCGCCAAAGTAATTTTTGGCATCGACGGTGACAAACGAAAAACCAATGTGGTACACGATAATAATCCAACTTGGAATGAGGAAGGCGAATTCAAAGTTCACAAATCGGATAAGGCCGTTTTTAAATTCAAACTATACGATGGAGATGAAACTGTGGGTGTGATCAAAATTCCTGTGAATGAACTATCCGAGGAACGGCAAGTGAAATCTTTATCATTGGAACCGTACAAGAAGGGCCAACCGCAACCAGCTGGCGAGCTTCAAGTCTCGGCTTATGTGGTTAATTACAAGTCGATACAGCGACGGAAATCATCTACACTGGGTGGGAAAATAAAGGCCAAAATGAGTAATTCAAATTTGAATTTGAAAGATGATGCCGCCAGTGTCGTCAGCGGAGAATCAAAGACATCTCTGTCCTCTAAGTCAAAAATGAGTACAATGAGGAAGAAAATTTTCAATCGCAAATCTAAAGACGGACATCTTGGAGCTCAGTCAATGATGAACTTGGCAACAAATGGGCAGTCAGAATTTGACGACAACGACCAATCGTTTTCTTTAAATCCATTTTTAAATGATACCAAAGACATGAATGATACTATCGTTAAACGACCGGACTCTAAGTTTCAAACTTTAGCCGGGCACGGGTCTCGAAAAAACTCAATCGTCGATGCTCATGATCACGTATCGGTGAATGGAAGCGAACAATCTTCCATTCCAGGCTCAGCAGCGAGTTTGGAGCGCAAAAAAGAAAAGGCGAACCGCGGTGGAAAAGGATTCATGAAGTCTCTGAAAAAGCCATTTGGGAACAGCTCTAAGAAGGAGCGGTCCAAGTCTATGTGGGACATATCCAACTTACCGGTCGAAGGCTGGGAACAGAAAATGGAGCACCGACTTTCAAAGTCACCCACTCCCGGGGAAGGCGAGCCAGTTGAAGATCAAGGGATTTATCTGGACAACGGAAGTGAAACTTCTAATGTCAGTCAACAACATGTTAACAGTAAGATTCTTGCGAGTAACACAACGCTCATAGACTCAGGCTTGGAAATGCGAGCAAACGCACACCATACAATGGCTGTCCCAACTCCACAAAGACGACCACATCTGTCAATTGACTCAGGAGCTGACCTTGAAAGTGGAAAGTTTTCAGCCCCTGAAAGTCGATCACACAGTCGTAATAACTCAGCTTCTATTCACAATGTGAGCCTTACAAGCAACTTGTTGCCTCAGATTTTAATAACCGACGTTATTCCTAACAAGGGATCGAATAATGGCGGAACCAAAGTGTCGGTGATTGGATCGAATTTTGGGACAAACCGCGAGGATTTCAAATCAGTGAAGATCTGTGGGTGTGAAGTGACAAGGAGTTTAATATGTGTGAACAACAGTAAGTTCACGGTCACTACTTCAATGTGGACTTCTGGGGCTGGTTTTGTGGACATTGAACTTGTAGATGGCCGGAAAGCTCTTTCAAAGCAGACTTTCGAGTTCGTCAGTGCCAATCAACTGACAGACGAAGCGAAGAATATTAAAGTACCTTCATTTAATTCCAATGAGCGCGGCGAACATAACAAGAAAAAAGGTCAAATGAACAGTTTACTGAATGCCAAAAAGAAATTTTCGGCATCTACTCTTGGTTTGAACACGATAACAGTCGAGGATGACAGTGGAAGTAATCCTTTTGCAGATCGAAAAAAGCATGCGCCAGAAACCCCATCGTCTTTGTCGTCACAGAAGGAGCTGTCATTGAGTCGCAGCACTTGTGAAAATACCGACAGCAAGAATAAACTATCACCTTTGGTTGCTTCAAGTGAGGCAAAAGTCAACAGCAGTTCCAGGAACAGTTTGGTGCGAAATTCATCAGACAGATATGACCCCTCAGTTTCGTTTCAGTCGAAAAAGGAACTGGAAGAAGAGATCTCCCGATTGCGCTCCACAGTTCGCGAGTTGACCGATAAGAACCTGGAAATGAACCAATATTTGGAGGAACTTTTAATCAAGGTCATGTCAGCTTGCCCTGAGGTTTTACAAAAGTGAGGTAGTAGCTCCCTAAAGGTTTAGAGATTTGTAGAGTAGTGTGTCTTATTATTGCACTGTTTACTTTTGTGAACATTATTACGCCTAATTTTAATTTCCTCAAACTTTGAATTTTATCGAGTTGGTGCTGAATTATTTATTTGTATCTTAGTTTGAAGCAAGCTGATCTTTGGTTTCAAAAATATCATTATTGAGACATAGACGTGGAAGTATTAATTGAATAGAAGAACAGCTTCGAAGTAAATATCATGCAATCGATGTAAATAAAAATCTTAAACATTAGTTAGATGAAATCATAAATGAAACTTCTGGAAACTACGCGCTCTAAACTATGTACTTAACAAAAGCTTACTTAAACAACTTACATTTCATCCCGAGCTGTTCCATTTGCATTGCATATCATACAACACAAGCCTTTTTGTATTCTTTTCTTCCGGTGCATTAAAGTAGAGAGACAATTTGTCCTTTAAAATCTCTGGATGCAGAGTCTTTTTAGTGGAAGCTCTATGACATTCGAATTCTGACGAATTAAATATTAGTTTATTTGAATTGAATCTTATATTTTGCCCTTTTCCCTGATTTTGACCCATTTCGAGGGTTTTCACATACACAATAATCTTGTCCAGCTACTCTAACAGAAGATAGTGCATCAGAATACTGTTTTTTGTCAGGAAAGTTCAATTTTGTTGTTGTTTCTCCCAGGTTAAATTATGGTCGGTGTTGGATCTGGTCCGTCAAAATCCTCAAATGAAACCATCGGACTCGTTTAGTGGTTGCTCGTCGGACATCATTGATTTTTTGTGCGAGCCCCACATTCAATTTTGTCCTAAACATGAGGAGCGACCTTGTTTGAACCTACAATGTCCTTTCAGCAGGTGTCGACTAGATCATATGTGGGTTATGCGAAGACCTCAGGACACTTGTTGGTCAGCACTGAAACCTGAAGTCAGTCGAGTAATCGAGGATGCCCTGGTTGACCCGAGAGTGAATGTGTTCATGTTTCAGTGGGACGACTTGACTTATGTCATACAATTTGATACTCTGAGTCAGAAAAACAGAATGGACTTGATAAAGAACCCATTTGACGCATTAGAAATTTCAAGTAAAAGTAAGCAATTTCTTCCACCTGGAACTTTTCAGTACATCAGGCTGACGTATGAAAGCTCTGAAGGTCAGGAGGCAATCTGGAATTGGTATTTCATGGGCGACGGAAATCAAGAGACTGCTAAAATGTCCACCGAAGTCCTAAACCCAATACTTCACAGGCTTTTTCCTGAAAGGAAGTGTATCGATAAAAAAATCGTCAAGGATACTTTTAGACCATGGGTTTTATATGACGAGTTGTCTTCGGAAGTTCTAGAAGAAGCTTATAATGGGTCTCAATTTGAGATCGCACTGACTATTGGCAATAAAAAATACGCTATTGATTTTGACAGTATGACTCAGAAAAATTTGACAACGTCAAAAGTTAGAGGTGTTAAAAGACGGCCTGCCATTTCACTCGATCAAAATTCTGATGAAAGAAGATTTGATAGAAACTTGATCCCCGAGTTCTCGTCGATTGAGGCACCTAAATTATTCAAATGCAAAACCGGTTTCAATGAACAAATTCTGGCTTCGAAATCTGACTTTGATTACGATTTGCTTCATTCTGTTTTAATTAAACAGTTCCCGACTGCGTATGATGTACAAATAACCAGAATTGAGAATTTTGAGCTCTGGGCGCATTACTGTTTGAAACGTGGCAAAATGCGTCGGAGGTATGGCGATACTAAAAACATCGGGGAAATGTTACTTTTCCATGGTACATCAATTGACGCAGCGTCTAAAATTTCCTTGGACAATTTCGATTGGCGTTTGGCAGGAACCCATGTCGGTCAAAAATTCGGAGCTGGAGTTTACTTCACGCCTAATATAGTCGCTGCAAGTCAATACTGTGCTAAAGGAAACTCACCAAAGTGTATCATGGTTGGTCTAGTTCTAACAGGCGAGTTTACGATGGGTAATGGATCTCTTAAAAGACCCCCACCCAAACCATCCAAGCCAGAGGAATTGTACGATTCGTGCGTTAATGACTTGTTTCAGCCGAGTATGTATGTCATTTTTGACCACAACCAAATGTATCCACTCTACAAAATGAGATATTCCCAGAAATAGTGTACAAAAATTACAAAACTTAGTTCACAAAAGTTGTAGAGCCGCATTGAAACATATATATGGAGTTTTATTCAATTGAAAATAGGGAAAGCCTTGTAGATAAATAGACTTCAGAACACTTAAATCGTTGATCATGTATTTGCTTATATCTTCTTTATTTAACAATGATTAAAAACCATTGGTGCTTGTAAATCATCTATTTGCTAATTTCTTGTTTCAAACCTTCAATTTTTTAAAACTAAATTTTTAAAACAGTCGCCGATTCCGAAAATTTGTTGCCGAGCTAGATTTGATAATTAAGGATACAAAGGTCAATTCTTTTTGCGAACCTTTTTTCTTTGGTCAGTACTCTGGCTTTCCTGGGCAGGATGGGAGTGGCCCTCTTTTTGTGCATGGGCTGTTTGTAGTTCCAGAATTCACTAGATGCCAATAGCATCAATTGCTTGTCTAAGTTGTTCAGTTGATGTGTTTTCGACCCATATGAAGGTTTTTGTGTCTCTGGCTGCTATCCCAGATAAGACCAAGTCAACATATGAGCCATGCTGTTAGCTGAAGTGCAACACCTCAGCAGCTTCAATGAGCTTTTCTAAAAAATTTTGTGAGGTTTGGATATAATGTCCAGGAGTTGAATGGTGCAGGTTATTCAACTCCAAGAATATAGCGGAAAATAAAAAATGAAAAATTCAGTTTTTTGAATTTCAATTTTTCTGTATTAAGAAACTAACGAATTAGCCTTTTGTGATTTTACAACAAGGTTAAAATTTATAACAAACATTTAAAAAAGAATCTGATTTTGAGTTTCTTATATCTATCTATTATTTAATTGGCGTTTCATGTGACACATGTTTAAGAAGTACGTATGCTTACATTGTAAAGAATTCCCTATGTTTGCATGCTTAAGCTTTTCAACGTATTATTTTTTGCATGTTTGATGAAAGAGTTTTCGCACGGTTGAGCTATATCGTATATTAAAATGCTTGAGAAATTTCATTTGGCAAATTTTAAAGAAGTCCCTGTGTTGGTATGTTAAAGGCCAAAACCTTGCAAGGGTTGAAAAGTTAACTGAAGTCAGCTTTTCAAAACCTGTCGGAGCGCGAATGCTTTAACTCTTTTATTTCTATATTTGTATTCGCAACTTTGTATTCGGGAGTGTTTTGATTTTTTTCTGTTGTCGACGCAAATCAGCTGCTACAAATAATCATCGGCGAGAGTTGCGTGATATATCATTTTAAAGCCTTTAGTTGTAATTCGAACAACATTGGAAAATTTTGAAACAATTTTCCCAGTGTCGTGAAAAACCGGTCTGAAATTTTAGATTTTGTCTACATTCGAGCGCGTAAATTTATGCTTAATTAGTCGATTTACAATAGCTTGATTAATAATTATGCTTAATTATATTTTTACTCGAGTAAAATAAATTTTTGGAGATTTTTCATGCCATGATGAGAATCACAGTTTTCAACAATTCGGGAAATTTCTGAAAAAAACTGAAAAAGTTTTGATTTTTCTTTTTTCATTATTTTTTTTTTGTTTTTGTCATTTTCTTTAAAAACTGTTGTCCGTTTTTCCTATATTTGTATGACTGTCGAATATTCCTAATTTAAAGTTATACGTCAGTTTTTTTCTAGCTTTCGGCGTAAATTTATGTATCACAAATAATTATTGGATTAAAATGAGTGATATATCTATGAAAGTCTTTTCCGTTGTGATTCGAACGACTGAATTTATTTTTTTTCAAAAAGCTCTCACAGTTTCGAGAAAAACTGGTTTGAAGTTTTTGAGATTTAGTCTAATTTCAGGCGAGTACCGTGTGCGAGAAGCTTTTTCGTATGAAAATTGCATATTTAGGCTTTTTTTTTGAAATTTCTTTCAGCGATATAATGTTTTCTTGAATATGAAAAATAATTGTGCAAAAAAAACTTTTTGAAATCGTTTCCTAAATATATATATTTTTTAAATTCAATTAAATCATATATTTTGCCCTTTTCCCTGATTTTGACCCACTTCGAGGGTTTTCGCATACACAATAATCTTGTCCAGCTACTCTAACAGAAGTTAGTGCATCGGAATACTGTTTTTTGTCAGGAAAGTTCAATTTTGTTGTTGTTTCTCCCAGGTTAAAATATGGTCGGTGTTGGATCTGGTCCGTCAATAGCCTCAAATGAAACCATCGGACTCGTTTAGTGGTTGCTCGTCGGACATATTTGATTTTTTTGTGCGAGCCCCACATTCAATTTTGTCCTAAACATGAGGAGCGACCTTGTTTGAACCTACAATGTCCTTTCAGCAGGTGTCGACTGTTATGCGAAGACCTGAGGACACTTGTTGGTCAGCACTGAAACCTGAAGTCAGTCGAGTAATCGAGGATGCCCTGGTTGACCCGAGAGTGAATGTGTTCGTTTCAGTGGGACGACTTGACTTATGTCATACAATTTGATACTCTGAGTCAGAAAAACAGAATGGACTTGATAAAGAACCCATTTGACGCATTAGAAATTTCAAGTAAAAGTAAGCAATTTCTTCCACCTGGAACTTTTCAGTACATCAGGCTGACGTATGAAAGCTCTGAAGGTCAGGAGGCAATCTGGAATTGGTATTTCATGGGCGACGGAAATCAAGAGACTGCTAAAATGTCCACCGAAGTCCTAAACCCAATACTTCACAGGCTTTTTCCTGAAAGGAAGTGTATCGATAAAAAAATCGTCAAGGATACTTTTAGACCATGGGTTTTATATGACGAGTTGTCTTCGGAAGTTCTAGAAGAAGCTTATAATGGGTCTCAATTTGAGATCGCACTGACTATTGGCAATAAAAAATACGCTATTGATTTTGACAGTATGACTCAGAAAAATTTGACAACGTCAAAAGTTAGAGGTGTTAAAAGACGGCCTGCCATTTCACTCGATCAAAATTCTGATGAAAGAAGATTTGATAGAAACTTGATCCCCGAGTTCTCGTCGATTGAGGCACCTAAATTATTCAAATGCAAAACCGGTTTCAATGAACAAATTCTGGCTTCGAAATCTGACTTTGATTACGATTTGCTTCATTCTGTGTATCATGGTTAGTCTAGTTCGAACAGGCGAGTTTACGATGGGTAATGGATCTCTTAAAAGACCCCCACTCAAACCATCCAAGCCAGAGGAATTGTACGATATGTGCGTTAATGACTTGTTTCAGCCGAATATGTATGTCATTTTTGACCACAACCAAATGTATCCACTCTACAAAAAGAGATATTCCCAGAAATAGTGTACAAAAATTACAAAACTTAGTTCACAAAAGTTGTAGAGCCGCATTGAAACATATATATGGAGTTTTATTCAATTGAAAATAGGGAAAGCCTTGTAGATAAATAGACTTCAGAACACTTAAATCGTTGATCATGTATTTGCTTATATCTTCTTTATTTAACAATGATTAAAAACCATTGGTGCTTGTAAATCATCTATTTGCTAATTTCTTGTTTCAAACCTTCAATTTTTTAAAACTAAATTTTTAAAACAGTCGCCGATTCCGAAAATTTGTTGCCGAGCTAGATTTGATAATTAAAGATACAAAGGTCAATTCTTTTTGCGAACCTTTTTCTTTGGTCAGTACTCTGGCTTTCCTGGGCAGGATGGGAGTGGCCCTCTTTTTGTGCATGGGCTGTTTGTAGTTCCAGAATTCACTAGATGCCAATAGCATCAATTGCTTGTCTAAGTTGTTCAGTTGATGTGTTTTCGACCCATATGAAGGTTTTTGTGTCTCTGGCTGCTATCCCAGAGAAGACCAAGTCAACATATGAGCCATGCTGTTAGCTGAAGTGCAACACCTCAGCAGCTTCAATGAGCTTTTCTAAAAAATTTTGTGAGGTTTGGATATAATGTCCAGGAGTTGAATGGTGCAGGTTATTCAACTCCAAGAATATAGCGGAAAATAAAAAATGAAAAATTCAGTTTTTTGAATTTCAATTTTTCTGTATTAAGAAACTAACGAATTAGCCTTTTGTGATTTTACAACAAGGTTAAAATTTATTACAAACATTTAAAAAAGAATCTGATTTTGAATTTCTTATATCTATCTATTATTTAATTGGCGTTTCATGTGACACCTGTTTAAGAAGTACGTATGCTTACATTGTAAAGAATTCCCTATGTTTGCATGCTTAAGCTTTTCAACGTATTATTTTTTGCATATTTGATGAAAGAGTGTTCGCACTGTTGAGCTATATCGTATATTAAAATGCTTGAGAAATTTCATTTTGCAAATTTTAAAGAAGTCCCTGTGTTGGTATTTTAAAGGCCAAAACCTTGCAAGGGTTGAAAAGTAAACTGAAGTCAGCTTTTCAAAACCTGTCGGAGCGCGAATGCTTTAACTCTTTTATTTCTATATTTGCAACGTAAATTTTCAAAAATCTTTGTTTCACAATTTACTTAACTATTTTTGAATATGTCAACCCTATAGTGGGTTGCTGTCAGGGTACACTCAGAGGTTGCAAATTTGTTGTCCAAGTATGACTGCTCAAATCCTTTTGGTTTTCGAAACTTTGCGTTTTTTATGATTTTTTGAATTAATTGTTTTTCAAAAAGACTTAGATAAAAAATAAATGGAACTTCAAATTCTCAACCCTATGAGCCTAGTTTATTTTCACGATTGCATTAAATATCGCTGTTTTTGTTCATATTTTAGGAAATTCTTCTTTACGTTCTACGATTTTTTTGGAGTACAGTAAGTGCGAGTCATGTGTAGTTTTTTTTAGTTTTGTTCCGACTGTTTGAAAAACGGGCAACTTTGTATTCGGGAGTGTTTTGATTTTTTTTCTGTTGTCGACGCAAAATCAGCTGCTACAAATAATCATCGGCGAGAGTTGCGTGATATATCATTTTAAAGCCTTTAGTTGTAATTCGAACAACATTGGAAAATTTTGAAACAATTTTCCCAGTGTCGTGAAAAACTGATCTGAAGTTTTAGATTTTGTCTACATTCGAGCGCGTAAATTTATGCTTAATTAGTCGATTTACAATAGCTTAATTAAGCTTGATTAATAATTATGCTTAATTATATTTTTACTCGAGTAAAGTAAGTTTTTGGAGATTTTAAATGCCATGATGAGAATCACAGTTTTCAACAAATCGGGAAATTTCTGCAAAAAACTGAAAAAGTTTAGATTTTTCTTTTTTCATTATTTTTTTTGTTTTTCTTGTAATTTTTTCTTTAAAAACTGTTGTCCATTTTTCCTATATTTGTATGACTGTCGAATATTCCTAAATTAAAGTTATACATCAGTTTTTTTCTAGCTTTCCGCGTAAATTTATGTATCACAAATAATTATTGGATTAAAATGAGTGATATATCTTTGAAAGTCTTTTCCGTCGTGATTCGAACGACGGAATTTATTTTTTTTCAAAAAGCTCTCACAGTTTCGAGAAAAACTGGTTTGAAGTTTTTGAGATTTAGTCTAATTTCAGGCGAGTACCGTGTGCGAGAAGCTTTTTCGTATGAAAATTGCATATTTAGGCTGTTTTTTTTAAATTTCTTTCAGCTATATGATGTTTTCTTGAAAATGAAAAATAATTGCAAAAAAAAATTTTTTTCAAAATCGTTTCCTAAATGTATATATTTTTTAAATTCGTTTTGGAAGCAAACTTTTTTCCGATTAAAACTAACTGGCTAGCTTTTCATGCGTTTGTGTAGTTCTCATCACATCGTGGACATAAAAAAAGGACACTAAAATGAAGAGGAAAAAGAAAGTAATTTTTTGTAGTTAATTTAGAATCTGGTCGTAACCTTCTGTGCTACTTGCCTAGCAACCGGATATCCTTGTTTGTTGTGAGTGGGGCGTACGACAGTAAATTTCTTGGCTCAACGGTTTCCCAAATCTTGTCTGCTTTGTTGCCGCTTGCGAAGGTTGTTTTTAAATTCTAATTTAACATCTATTGTTTTTGTTGGCCTGTTTTTTCTAAAAATAAAACAGAAAAAAATTTGAATAGATTAAACTTTTTTGGAACGAGTTTTGACGGGGTTAAATTGCTGAAATTGTGGTGAAATTGAAAGAATTGTTTAAAAATACTTAAAAGGGGTGCAACTGATGGGCGCTCTGTAAGGAGATCGATGAAAAGCTACAGGTGACATGTTGTGGGGGTGAATATATAGAATTTGGTAATACTTATGGGTCCATGCTTGCCAGAATTATGAAAACATCAAACGCCTTTACATGTTTTGATTCAAACAGACTCAGTCTAAAGAGATTCAGAACTGCAACTTATGGTGTTCTAATAGGTGAAAAAAACTTAATTTTCGTTTTCTCGTATTCAGATCAATATGGTTCACGAAGAAGACAGTGTAGGTGCTGATAGTTTCTACCTGCGCTACTATGTCGGCCACAAGGGCAAGTTCGGCCACGAGTTCCTAGAGTTCGAGTTCAGACCGGACGGCAAATTGAGGTATGCAAACAACTCCAACTACAAGAAGGACACAATGATCAGGAAGGAGTGTGTAGTTAGCAAAGCTGTACTTGAGAAACTCAGAAGTGAGTTAACTTATTTTTTATACAAGTTGGTCCTTAAGGTAATTAAAGAACACCTAGATTTCGAACACCAAGATTGAAAACATAGTAATGGTGTTCCTCTCAAGTGTAAATTCCGATCTCATAATGGTATTCAGTTGTATTGAAGCTGAGGCGTTACTTTTTACGCAAAATTTTAGTTGGTAATTTCCTAATATTCTGGTATGAGTTTGACTATGAAGTTTTGAAGCAGCTTAATATTTGATTGAATCTGATCACTGCGATTTTGCTGTTCTAGACATGATAATGGACAGTGAAATTATGAAGGAAGATGACGAACAGTGGCCTCAGCCGGACAGAGTGGGCAGACAGGAGCTGGAGATAGTGATGGAGAAGGAGCACATCTGCTTCACTACTTCTAAGATCAACTCACTAGTCGACTGTACCCAATGTCAGGATGCAGAGGGACTGAGGGCCTTCTACTATCTCGTACAGGACTTGAAGTGCTTTGTCTTTGCTCTTATTGGCATGCACTTCAAAATAAAACCCATCTAATCACCCTGTACATCAATGAACGATCTAGAGTAATAATAAGACAACCAGTTCATTAACAGCGATGCACTGCATTAGTGTCTTTTTGTGAAAATCTGAACTGTTCGTTGAGAAAGAGGAATAGATTTCTCTCTATTCATGTATCTCAAAACTGGAACTTTGTCTTTGCATCCGTAAACTATATTCGGATCATGTTGAAAGGTGCGGTAAATTATGGTAGTTTGAGATTTTCCCTTTTATCTTGTTTTTTTTTGTAAAGTCTGTGAATTCAATTTTGTTGTTCAATATCGTATCTTAACGATTTTTTACTTTTACAGTGACTCCCTAATACTGAGTGAGCGACAATCTTCAACTAAGAGTTACCATTAAAGCCGATACACCGTACAAACTTTTTCAATCATTTTGAGTTTCATGTAACTGTTGCATACTATATAAGATGCTTTACTAATTTAATAGCATTTTCAGGAAATCATGGGCTCAGTTGAGCTTCAGAAAAAAGTGACTGATTTCACTTTGAAAGTAACAAATGACGAATTTGGGAGCCTTTTTGAAGTGGCAGAGAAAACGTGTAAACTGGTGCAATCTATAATCCTTCAATTGAAGTGGAAATCGACTGATAATCTTATCACATATCTGCGTAGTACCATCCAACAAGTTTGTGGAAGCGAGGAACATTTAGTAGTTACAAATGCATGCTCAGTGGCGTGTAATGTCATTTTGAGACTGATCAAAATCATCTCAATTGAAGACCCCACTTACCTGGGTTCGACATCAGAACAATTTATGTCTGGGTTGATTAAACGTCAGGAATCAAAACCAAGTTTATCAGAAAGCAGTGACACCACGAAAAGTCAGTCCAAGAAAGAGTTGAAAGAAACGTTCATAGATTGTTTAGAAGAATACACAGCGGAATTAGAGAATAGTTGTTCAAACATTGCTTCTCAGAGCTTAGACCACATTCACCACAATGAAATTATTCTAACCATCGGATATTCGAAAACAGTGAGCGAGTTCTTGAAAGAGGCATCGCAAACTAGAAAGTTTCAAGTTCTAGTTTCAGAAGCGGCGCCGTCATATAAGGGTCACCAAATGGCTCGAGAGCTAGTTGATGCTGGTATCAATACCACGCTATGCGCTGATTCAAATATATTTGCAGTTATGTCTCGCGTAAATAAAGTCTTGATTGGCTCGAGGTTAATCTTAGCAGATGGTTCAATTATGTCCTGTGCAGGAGCTTTGTTAGTCGCTCAAGCAGCCCAACATTTTTCAGTTCCGGTCATATGCTGCGGTGCGTTCTACAAAGTGACTCCAAAATACTTGTCATCACAAGACCAAAACTTCAGTACACTTCTCTCGCCTCAACAATCGCTGCCTTTGAAACACATTTCTAGTTTGCAGACTTTTGTAGCTAACCCGGCTTATGATTTTGTGCCTGCTAGTTACTTGACACTTCTCATTTCCAGTTTAGGTGGGCATGATCCATCCTATATCTTCAAGCTAATTTTCGATCTTTATCCTGCAATTGACAATTAAATTATGAATCGAGATCTTGTTTTCTGGTCTGTTATTGCAAAAATTCAAATAGAGCGCTTTGAGTAGATGAGGATAAGCCGATCAGCTCTCAAAATTTAGATATGTACTACAAACAAAAATGTATCTTGTAAAGCTCTTCTTTTTCATTTGAGTCTATATGGCCACGAAATCATTTTAAAATTACAATTTTTATTTGATAGCAGTTATAAGTGCAATCGGAAGTCAACGTCTGCTTTTAAACTGTCTTCATAAATAATTGTTTGCTTTTCAGATGTGATGAACCAAGAAGTGTATCTGCTTGAGTCGCTAGCCGCAGCCCTCTCCGAGAACCCAGAGAGACGAAAGGAAGGTGAAGATGCCCTGAAGATCCTGGACGCCACAGAAAACTACGGGGTCATGTTAACCTGTAACATAATCAACAGTCCTGTACAGGTACCTACACATGTGAGACAGTTTGCAGCTATTCTCTTGAAGCAATACGTTGACTGTCACTGGCACAGAGCTGCAGATAAATTCTTGGAGCCCGAAGTGTCCCTGAAAGCGAAGGGTTCAATTATGGAAGCGTTACCTGCATTACTTGCAGATGATAATAGTAAAATCAGATCGGCAGTTGCATACGCAATATCAGCAATAGCATCCTGGGAATGGCCGGATAATTGGCCCACTCTGTTTCCGATTATAGTCCAGGGTGTAAAAAGTGGCAATGAGTTCTCACTTGACGGAGCTATCAGGGTACTGAACGAGATAAGTTCTGAGGTCAATGTGGATCAGATTTTCCAGATGTTTCCGGTGGTTGTTCCTGAAATCCTGGCAATTTTGAGAAATTTTACAACTAGTCAGTTGTCGCATATCGCAATCATTTCACGCACTATTAAAGTTTACCAGACATTAATTACAATACTGGCCGAATCACCGGATATGAAAGTAGCGAATAAAGCAATCGAGCCAGACCTTGAAAATATTTTGACTGAAATTCACAAGTTTTTGAGTCAACCGCTGCCTGAAAATGAAATTGTGGAACCCAAAATCAGCTGTATCACTTTGACTCAAATTCTGTGCAAGTTGTACCCTAGGTTAATGCATCCGGTGTTGCAGAATGGTTTGATGACAACTGTTTTGAAACTTTATGAAAATGTTGCTCAACAGTACATTAAGCTGGCAGTCTACTCAAATGATATTGTAGAAGCCTCACTAGAAGATGAATCAGTTGGCGTCTTAGATCTGGCTAATGAAATTATAATTCTCTTCTCGACTGTCTATGCGAATAATAAGCTATGTGACACTTTGACGGGAAATCTACCAGATCTTCTATTTTGTTCATTGCTTCTGGTTCAGCCGAATGAGAATGCGTTGGAGTCTTGGGAGTCGGATCCTGGTCAATTTATCGAAGATGATGACCTTGATAACTGTTTCACATCGTGTAGAAATGACGCTGCGTCGTTTATAATTGAAGTCTTTTCAGACGAAAAGAAAAGCGGGTCAGTTACACCTGTTTCAGTGTTAGCCCGTGCTATTGATGCTTCTGAGAAAATGTATGAGAGTGGTGATAGTAACTGGTGGAAATTGTGTGAAGCAGCTCTTTTTGTGCTATCCAAAATGTCAACTCTTGGTGACGAATTTATCAATCAAGACAATTTGAAACAACTTTGGGAAAGCTTTTTCGTGCACAACAAACAGAAGCCTTCGTTTTTGGTTGCCTCGGAGATCGCAACTGCTTCCAGTTTCTTTTCGAGAATGCCGGATGAGCTATTTTCCAGGTTCTTGACTTCTATCAACACTGGAATTGAACCTCATCACCCTGAAATTGTTCGAATTCAGAGTTTGAAGGCAATACAAAACTTAGACGTTTTCACTGAGATTTCAAATGACTTTGTTCGTCAAGCGGTTGACGATGTATTTCCCAATTTGATTCCAAAAATTGTGCAAATTGAACTAGAACTGGAGAAACGAGATACTCAGCACTACATTCTTGACGTCGTCTTACAGTCTTTGATTGTGCTGACGGATCTTTGTGAGAGAGAGGAACTGTTTGCCAAAGTCGAGGCACAACTGGGACCTTTCGCACTTGCTATTTGGATAAAAAACAACAACGAAATGATAGTGACTGAGTTATGCAAGACCTTAATCGGGAACCTGTGCAAGTTTCAATCTACAGCTGAAGTTGTATGTAAAAGAGCGGTGCCTACTCTGATGAGTATAGTAAAATCAAGTGCAAATGGAAGGTCAGAAAAGGGACTGTCAGGGGAAAATGTGGGCGCTTCTGCAGTGGCTTTGGATCTGCTGGCGGAGATTGTAAAAAAATGTCAAGGAAGATGGTGCTCAGATATCCTAGGTAAGTCATACTCGGTGAAGTCGCATGTAGAGATCTAAAGGTACGTGTATAAAGCTAAATACCGCCTATATTTGATATGATTCATATATCAGAAGATTTCCCAGTGCTTTATTTTCACCTCCAAAACGTAAATAGTTTTAAGCAAATTGAGTGGCAAGACAACTGCTCAGAATAAAAATAAAGTGTCACTTTGATAAACAAGCAGTTTGTGAAGTGCTTTACTTTCGCAGCGGATAATTCTATAAAATTGGTTATCAAGATGAAACGCTTCCTGACATATCTTAAGAGAGATTAAAAGGACCTGTTTAATTCATGTGAATCAAAAGGTGATCCGGCTGCCTATCCATAATTTTCGGTTAACATAGTAAAAACGATCTAATCTATTATCTATTTAAATGCGGGCTTCACCATCTCGCCATGTTTAAGCTTTTTCAGCGTATAATTTTTGCATTTTTAACGAAAGAATTTTTTCACATTTAAGCTATATCGTATATTGCAATGGTTAAGATTTTTTTCGATTTTCCAGTTTGAATTCAGTGTTTATCTCACCAAATTTGAAATTAGCAACCCAATAGTGGGATGCTGTCAGATTTCACCAGGTGTTGCGAATTTGGCCTCCAATTATGCACAACCAAATCCTTTAGTCAACGAGATACGACAATATTTTTGTATTTTATCAAAAGTTTCGAGAAAACTTAAATTTAAAAAATTCTTTTAATTTGAAGTTCTTTATCCTGCAATTGGGTGCTGTCAGGGTACTCTCGGCGGTTACCATTCTTTGCCTCCAAATATGAGTTCTCAAATCTTTGTGTTTTCGAGATCTGACGTTTTTTATGATGTTTTCAATTTTTCAAAAAACTTAGATTTAAAAAATTCAAAATTTGAATTGCTCAATTTTGTAAAAGGGTAATATGAGGATACTCTCGTGAGTTGCGAATGTTGCCTCCGAATATGACTGTTCAAATCCTTGTAGTGCTCGAGATATGACGTTTTTTTTATTTTTCCAAAATTTTTGAAAGAATTTAGATATAAAAAATTTAACGATGATTGAAATTCTCAACTCTATAATTTGAGAGGCTGTCGAAGTATTTTCACGGGTTTGTCTCGGAAAATGACTGCTCAAATGCTTTTGGTTTCCGAGATATGACGTTTTTCCAACGTTTTTTTTTTCAAAATTTTCAAAAGAAAATTGAATAAAAAAAATAGTTTCAAAATGTGAAATTCCCAACTTTATAGTGGGTAATTTCTTGTTTTCTTAGAGGCTGCAGATATTACCTCCAAGTTTGATTGCTCAAATCTTCTGAGTTTTTTTATACTTTTTATGCTTTTTCAAAAAATTTTATCAAGAAACTTAAGGTTTCAATCAATTTCCAAGTTTGAAATTTTTAACACTGGCGGGGTGCTCTCTGTTTATTCTCAGAATGTTTGTCTGGACTCCAATCATGACTGCTCAAAGCCTTATTCTTTTTAAGATGTGACGTTTTTCTCTTTTTCGAAAATTTTCAAAAGTGTTTCTTTTCAAATGAACACGTTTCAAAATTCGAAATTATCGGCTCTTTGATGTGTTGATGTCAGGATACTACCAGCGGATGCATATGTGGCTTCTCATCTAAATATAATTGCTCAAATTTGGTAATTAAACTTATAATAATTTATGAAAAATGTCTGTTATTTGAAAATTGATTACGCTGGATTATGAATCCCTTTCATGAATTTTATGATTTTGCGATTGAAATTGTTTCAAATTTTCTTATTATGGAAAGTGCGACTTTATGCTGTTGGCTATAAAGATCTCAAACACAGTAGTTTTGGAGATTTGGCTTTTTTAGTATACAAAATTTTGAAGTCGAATTTATTTCTATCGTTCAAATTTTGAACTGAGGAGATTTTGGATTATCCCGTCATTTTTTACGGCCGCATTAATTTCGCTGTTTTTTTCATATGAATAACATGTATAAAAGCCTTCATGCTCACTAATCTGTTTGAAGCACCGGAGGTGCGTTACAAGCTTATTAATTTTGACATCAATTTATCATACTAGGTTTTGGGTCCGGAATCCGCCACACAAATTACCATTAAATTTTTGTTGAAATTGTTGAAAACGTTAATTATACTTTTGTCCCCAAACTGTTTCTTATCTTGGCGTGCAGAGCGATTGAAGTTTGAATCTCAAATAATGTTAAACGATCACTTTAGTTGACAGAGGCTTCGTCCTACTTAACATAGGCAGATTGGACCTAATGTTGCTTTCCAGTACATTTCGTCCTAATGCATACCTTCTATGCCTGGTAGTAGGCGATCGTCGATGCTATGCGGTGATAACTCGCCATCAAAAGTGGTCAATTTTGGCACTTATGGTATTTTCCCAAGCATTATTGAATTAATAGCATCTGAAGCTGTTTATTGGTGGCTACTGTCAGTATAAAATGGCGCAGATACGATCTAACCTATAGCAGAGGTTTTTGTTAAGGTTTTTTAAAAAAATTTAATTTTTTCAGTTTTCTGCGAATTGGAGCTTTGGCTCTTTGGCAAAAAGTTGCATAAAATTTGCTTGAATAATAAATAAAGCTGCTCGTTTTCCAGGTCAAATCTGAATTTTCCTGCTGTCCCTTAATCATTATCGAATAGTTTTTGTTGAGAAAATATTTAGAAACCATAATTTTGGAACTTATCACACATCATGTGCGAAAATTTGATTCTTTCCAAATTAATAATAGGACCAATTCATTTTCGATAGATTTAGTAGAGCGGGATAGTTTTCCACTCATAAATATTTCGGTTTGCGCTTTCAAAATCAAAAATAAAATTTTCAAAGCGAGCATTAGTTAATGCAAAGCGAGGCCAGATTGGTAATTTTCAAGCCCCCAGAACTTAACAAGGAATAATTGGAGGAAAAATATTTTTTAACAGTAATGAACGTAGTGAAAACTTATATAGGTCTTGCATATTTTTTTTGTTTTTTTTTCTCGGGACAAAATCTTGAAATATTGATGCACTTAGGTATAATGCACTTTTTGAGTTCAATTGAAATTCATTGCTGAAAGTGACGTAAATAGCTTTCTCCAAATACAAACGTGGAAATGGCGCAAAAAAACGTGAACGATTTCTAGTTTCAAAAATGGAATTTATTTTTAAGATTTCGCAGCGGAATAAAAACTTTACCTTTTGATCCAGTTTTCTGAAGTTGGGTGGATGTTATCAAAAAAGCGCCAATGATAAATTGTTCTAGAAATTTAAAGAGCTTAAAGGGCATCTATTTTTTTTTGAAATTCGAAAATGAGATTTTCAAGAACTCGGTGTTTTTTGTTTACTTTTGTTCATTACGCCTTTCCAATCTTTGATTGACTATGTTTTAAGAGTTGAATTCATAGAGTCGATATCATCAATGGGACACAAAATTTTTTTTCTTCAAAACTATTATTTGGATCGCTGAAATTTGAATGAATAAAAAACCACCACCCCTAACAAAAATTTTCCCCCGCCCCAAGCACAAAACCACCGTTCACAACTTGTGAAAAACTAACACTGGCTTACAAATAAGTGCATTAATTTTGTTTTCGGGCTAATTTAAACACCATAGTCATTTCTTTTATAGTCGTCTATTTCAGGCGGGGAAGTGTTCCTGTTTTGCATGCAGTTCACCCTAGCCTCAGACGACACAGCAGTAGTTCAAAATGGCTGCGACCTCCTCAAGTGCTACGTCTCCTCATTCTCGACTCAGATCCTCGCCTACCACGACCCTAAGCAAGCCCAACACGACGCCATGTACTACATTGTGAGTGTGGTGTTGAAGATACTGTCGCCTGAGACTGCGGAGATGGGGGCTGTCTTTGTTGGCAGGTTGATGGCGGTTGTGCTGCTGCATCTTTCTAATCAGATTGGATCCCACCTTGATCACATACTGAAAGGTTTCAGTCAAATTCTACGAAATAGGGTTCACTGTTATTGCACGCAGTCGGTTCTCTTATTGGTCCAAATTCATTGATATCTGCTATTGGGGTTCCTAGAAAACTGAAATGAAAAAGATTTTCGGCATTTTGGGTGAATAGTTTTAAGGAATTTATAGTCACTAAGATACTGACTAAGATGTTTGTACTCAATGAGCGATTAAATCGATGTCTGTGACAAAAATATTTGTTTTTAGCGGTTCTGTCCAAAATGCAACAAGCCAAAACTCTATCAGTCTTTATGAGTCTTATCACGATCTACGCCATCCTGGTCAACCACAAGCTTCCAGAAGTAGTCCAGTTTCTCTCCTCACTCCCGGACCCATCTGGCAAGAGTGCATTAGAGTATGTGTTGCGAGAGTGGGTTCTGAACCAGCACAATTTCTACGGGTTGTTTGAGAGACAGGTCACGTGTGTAGCTCTCTCTAAATTGCTGCAATATTTGCTGGTAGAGGATAGGACTGGAAACCTCAAAGTAATGATGGTCAAAGGTGTGATTTTAGCACTACTTTTTAAATCTTGTCAGGATCTCGAAGATATCCTCAAGTTATTGTGATGAAACTTCAGAAAAGAGTTTTTTAAACAGAATCATGATAAACAAAAATAATAATTGACTACTTATTGCTTGCTGACAATGTTCTTTGTTTACTTTTTCTTGCATTAAGATACAGAAAATACGATCTATTGTATGCTGATGATATTGTCGGTTTTCCTTAAAACTTGTTGTTTTTACACTAGCGAACTTAAGTAAGCGTTAGTGTAATAGCACGGCTATTCTTTTTTTAAACCCAAGTCGCGCATATTGGTGCCACTTTTGGTGGCACCTTAACGATTTAAGATTTTTTGATAGCATGTTTTTTATGACATTCGTATAGTAGTAAGTTAACATAGTTGATAAAATTTTAATTCATCGCATCAAATGAACCGAATAAAAGCTATTTGTTTCAAACTACATAGCAATAATAAAAACTCGATTTCAGGCATTCCCTAACTCAATATATCACGCATTTTTTTAAAAAATGAATTATTCATACAAATGTGGCATTATACTTTAGTGTGGGTACTTCAGTTTGTTATATTCCAAAGTACTTGGTGCCACTTTTGCTGCATCCCATTGCATTGCATTTTATTAGCATATGTAGCTGCTTTATTTGTGACTGGTGTTTGCCAATTGTTAAGCGTTCGGGGCCGAGAGGGCAGGGCGTGAGACTCCAAATCTCGAGGTCGCAGTTTCGAAGCCAATACGTTGCAAAACTTTAATAAATCGAGGCTTATTTCTATATTTTCTTATTTCACTATATAAAGCTGCTTTTTCGTGCTCTCGCTAGCGTTTGCGTTGCGCAGCATCGCCTCTGTGTAAAAGATAATCTGAAACGGAAATGGAGAAACTTAACTGAGCTGTGGAAAAATTCAGAAGTTCATAGATTTCTTAATTGTTTCATCGTTATTTAACTGATTTCTAGGAGATTTGATTATAAAAGAAGGAAGTGCTGGGCCTCGAACTCGTTCGAAAGGAAAACTAGCAGATGAATACACCTCGATTCCTCTCCCTATCAAGATGCTCAAATTATTGCTGCAAGAGTATCAGTCATACTGCGACAAACAAGACATTGAGTTCAAAAAATCAACTCGATCTGACGAGAACATGCTTGAAAGCAACGGCGATGCTGGGTTGGCTGAAGATTCTGAATCTTCGAGCGATGAAGATGGCGAAGATTGTTACGGAGGTAAAAATTACGTAACAGTGGACGAATTTTTCTCAGGCCAAGGGGACAAAATATTCGCGGATGAACTGAATGAGGAAATAGACGATGACCTCAAAAATGACCCATTTGTTTCGCTTGATTTGAAACAATACCTTTCTGAATACTTTTCACAGCTGAAGCAACTGCCTTATTATCATGACTTCGAAAGTGCTTTGAACAAGCATGAAATTGCGTTGATGAAGGAGTTCTAAATAGTATCGCGTTTAAGTGATGTTTGTATTTATTAGTGAATTCATTAAATGTTGTGTGGCCGATTGGAGCTTTCATATAATGAGATTGGTTTATTTCATGTTGTGATAGCGAGTACTCGAATGTTTGAAATTTTATTTGAAATTTGATAAATAATTGGAAAACTTTATTTTCGAAGTACGTTTTGAAAACCCAACCGCTTAATTAACGTCAAAAAATTGATGAGAAGAAAGCTTGACTGGTGATCTGCTTTGATTCGACTTGAAATTTTTTGAAGAACGCGGTATCTGATCTGAAGAAAAGGGGCATCTGATTTATGTTTAAATTAAGTGATCGAAGAACATATTTACGAATTGATAAAGATTTTCAACATAGATTTTCACAATTGCATCATTTATCACAGATTGTGGTAATATATGGGTGAACGGGAATAAAGCAATTCGACCAAAAGACGATTTGGAAACGATAGCATAATTCGAAAATAGCACTCTGTCAACAATCAAGTTTCCGTCGTTAGTTAGAGGAGCGTAGACGCCGTTAAATCGTTTCCCTTCTAAAGATATAATTTTTGACTGGACGCTTCCACCTCTTTGGTCGAAAAAACGAATTGATGCGCCAACTGAAAGTTGTCCCGCGAATATCTGATTCCCGTTATACAAGAAGATGTAATGTTCAGGCGTGACAGTAATAGTGCCATGTTCATGAGTTATTTCCAAGAAATAAGACGTCTGGTTGATGTCTTTGTGAAGCCATGACAAGAATGTAGTAGAAACTGTCATCTGGTTGTGTTCGTCCCACGTTAGAATTCGGTCGCCTTTATTTAGTTCAGACAGAAGTTTCTGCTCTCCGTTCGGAAGGAGAACCAGTGAAGTAGACGGGAAGCATGAAAGTCTTCCCTTGCTCTGGTCGGGTCTTTCTGAAAAAAGAGACCTCGATTAGATTTGATTTGAACAATAGCTATACCAAAGTATTTGATTTTTTAAGCGTGCGAAGTTGTGATTCGTTTATTCTGAAAAAAAATTGTTCCTTTTTTCAGATTTGTGTGAATTGTTGCCACGTGGATAAAATACAATCAAAATGCAGATTTTTGTGAAGACTCTCACTGGTAAGACTATTACCCTGGAGGTCGAGCCCTCGGACACCATTGATAATGTCAAGGCTAAGATTCAGGACAAAGAGGGAATCCCACCGGACCAGCAGCGACTCATCTTCGCCGGAAAACAGCTGGAGGATGGTAGGACATTTTCTTTAACGCCTTTCAAAGGATTTTAAGTTTTGGTTTTGCGAAGAGATGTGTAGTGATCACACTTTAAAAATAGTGTTAAAAAACGCAAGGGACTCCAAGCGCCTAGAATTTTATGTGAAGTGGTTGTGTGGGCACCAAAGCTTTACTGCAAATTGTAAAATTTTACCGGGTGTTTTCAAAACAGAATTTCGTGTTTTACAGGCCGAACATTGTCGGATTACAACATCCAAAAAGAGAGCACTCTGCACTTGGTGCTGCGTCTAAGGGGAGGAGTAATTGAGCCCTCTCTGAAGATTCTGGCTCAAAAATACAACTGCGACAAGATGATCTGCCGAAAGTGTTATGCTAGACTACCGCCCAGGGCTACCAACTGCCGAAAGAAGAAGTGCGGACATTCGAGCGACCTCCGAGTCAAGAAGAAGCTGAAGTAAACTTCCTATCACGCTCTTTGTCGAGAAGCATTTCATTCGATTACATCAGAAAGCCATCGATTTTACCTTCAGATATTGTTAAGCTACAGTTAATCTTAGAACGGTTGTAAATGCAATTGTTAGTTTGGTTGATGCTCTTTTTGAATGAATTGAAATGTTCTCGGTCTCATTTTTCTGACAGAAACAGAAACGAAACTTTTTAAGAATCACGAAGATAGTAAATACTCTCATATAGGTCTTGGTGATTTTTTGTCTGTTTTTTTTTTCAGGAAAAGTCTTAAAAATTGTTCACGCTAAAATTTGAGTTTCCTCGGTTTGGTTTTTGATTTTTTCAAGTTCACTTCATTTCTTTTGTTAAAAGGAAGGCAAACTCCGCTATCGAACAGCGAAAGTGTAAATGTTACGAAAAAATTTATCGACTTCTAGTTTCGAAAGTTGAGTTTTATTATCACACTTCCCAGCGAAATAAAAATTTTACCGATTGATCCAGTTTTCTCAAATTGGGTTATTTTTATCAAAAAAGTGTCAATCATAACTTGATCTTGGAGTTTCTAAATAATTTAAGGCCATCTTTTTTTTACTTTGAAATTCTAAAGTTGATTTTTTTAAATTTTTTTTTCCTTGCGTCCATGACTGTTTTTTAACTGTCTGTTGGCTATGTTTTTTATTCGACGTGAAAGCTTTCGCCTTCGTCTCAACTTTGTCGTCTAGTTAGTGATGATGTGTCTGTGATTTACACGGAGGCGAACCTCCGCTTCGCCTCCCTGCTTATTTTTTGGTTTAGATTTTTTCTCCAAAAAAGAATTTTTCAGGGTCGACTGAAATGACTTTCTTAACTCCAAACCTATGTCCAAATAAATGTGCTGCAGCTTTATTTTATAGAGGAATCTGCTGCTCTAAAAAAGCTATTGCAACCAATTACGGCTGGTTTGGTTGCCTTTCTGTATCAGTTTATTGTCGTATAACACTGGTCTTTCGTATAATAGTATAAAAATCCGTATAACGCATAAAAAAATACTTCGTTTTACCAAACTTTTTCGTCTTCCACGTTATTTTTAAAAAATATAATGTGACGTTTTTGAGCAACTTTCAAACTCTTTGATCAAAAACACGTAAATTTTGCCAAAATGCGAGCCTTAGAACTTTTTTGTTTCAATACGAGTAAATTAATTGTCGAATATTGCATATAACAAAATGGATTATTGCATGCAATCTGTTGCTTAACGTGTATAATACACTGCTTTGTATAGTTACCATATCCAATTGAAAGATGTATAGAGAACGGCGTTTCTCTTTTCACGAAATGGAACCCAGACTTTGTGGCCATGCCAGCAACCAGCCCATATGTCTCCGGATCGTAATTGTGATACAACTGGATATCCACTGCTCTCCCTTCGCAATGAAGAACTTCCAGCATTATCTTCTGGCAGTTTCTCTGCCATGCTTTGGTGATCTGGATGCGAACTTGTCCCTTCCACTCGTTGTACACCCACAGTGCCAGTTTGGTCAGTTCGCGGTCAAGGTTCTGGAACCAAGTTTCCATCAAATCAAAAATACATTTGAACGACACGTTTTCGACACATTTCTTTTGAAAGTCAATTCGTATGCTTCTAATTAGATAATAGTCCAAGTTAACTTGAATGTTTTTGTTTCTTTTTGTTTACAGGATAAACTTCGGACATATGTATTCATAGTTTCTACGCATTGCATCTATCTCAGGTCGCTGTTTTGGGCTAAGAGTTTTTGTTCCGACCATTTGAAAAAATGGGCAGGAACTTTGTATTCCGGTGTTTTAGATTTTCTTTTTTTTTGTTTTCCACGCAAAATCAGCTACCACAAATAATCATTTGGGTGATATATCATATTGAAGCCCTTACAGTCGTCATTCGAGCGACATTTGAAAATTTCAAAAAAAAATGTTCTCCGTGTCGAGAAAAATCGGATTGAAATTTTTGACTTTTCGACTGAATTCGAGCGAATAAAGCGGGAGAACAGGCTTACAATAGCGTATTTCAATGGCTTCAAAACTTGCAATAGCCCAATTTAAATCGTGAAGTTTTAGTTTTACTCAAGTAACGTTAGCGCCTTTTTGGAATCAAAAAACTGCAAAAAAGTTTTTTTTTTGTTTTTTAGTCATTAATCTGCAAAACTGTTGAATATGCCTAATCTCTAGTTTTTCGTACAGCTCCTTCTATCATAGTACGTTGAAAAAAAAACGACTCTAATTTGAAAAAAAAACTTGTTTTATTTTTTATAAGACTATGTTCGGAACATATGTGCTACTTGCACAGTAACCGGCTATTCTTCTTTAGTTTTTAATAACATCGCACCTCTTTTGTTTTATTTGAGATGTGTTCAAGAGATTTTCAGATCTTCAGCGCCTCCTAGGATTTACCTTTATAGAAAAGAGTTTGTTCCTAATATGGGGTAAAGTTTCAAGAATATAAAGAAAATTTGGTATACCGGCTGCATTAGCGTCTGGTGATGCTCGTAGTCATTTTGATGCATCTCGCGATCTTTTGGCTTTATCCAGTACCTCTCATTGCTCCACTGATCCCTGCCGAGTGGTATGTCTACAATGTAGATTGAGCTCGGAGACACCATCTCATGGTACCTGTCGTCCTCGGGCCCGAGAATAGGAACTCGCGGGTGGATGAGATCGAGCTCATGTTTGTTGCTGGGCCATTGTTCACCCACGTTTAGGAAGGTGATTTGCTCGCGTGGTGTTGGATCGTTAAACTGGTTGAAGCCTCCATTCGAATGCCTATAACGGTTTGTTTTAATCACCCAGAACGCGGTGATTTGCTGTCCTGGCTCGTCATTAAATAGTTTTCCCATGAATACGCTACTCAGTTACTGCATCCTCCAATGGCTGGTTTTTGCAACCCCCTTCCTCAAACCTCTGATGAGTATCATTTTTTGGTGCAACGGGAAGTGTTGCGACGTAAGATTTTAAAAATAATTATGTTCGAAAGCAGCATAATAAAAGCGTTTGCACCTTATAAAAGATAGGGATGTCATAAGGTCGGAATATCCTGAGATAATTCGAGGGGGTACCGGACATCCAGCCGACGGGAATTCAAGCCGAATCGTAAAATTAGGGACTTCAAGCCGAAAGTTTTCTCATTAAGTCATGAAGTAAGGTTAATTTGAAAACTTCTTTAAAGAATTTCTCATTTTCAGGATCTTAATTATTAGCATTTTCATAAAATTTAAACCTCCAAATGATGTTTAGGAAAGTTGAAAAATAAAACAAGGTTGAAGGTAATTTTCTTATTTATAATTTATGCATTTCAAAAACCGGCTGATATTATTATTGGATGCCAATCCTAAGTGTTTCATTGTCATAAATAACGCTTATTATGGACTAAACTAGCCTAAGATTTTGAAAAACAACGTTTTACAGATGAAAAAATAATGATTTGAGGTGCTTGTAAAGTTCAATTTTTGGCCTGAAGTCCCTTCGGCCTGAAGTCCCGTCGGCTTGTCCTAGACCCAATTCGAGGACCGGCCTACTAGCATGCGTGCCGCTTAGCATGCGGCTATTAGATTAGAGCAATAGCAATAGAACTGAGTTTGCTTACTCACATTTCCTACTTGAACTGATGCACGCCGCATCAAAGTGAGTAATTACTTTATTTGCGCATGCTAAGCGGCACACATGCAAGTTGCTGCACCCGCTCTGAATGGCTTGTCTGAGTTCAAGGATCAATTGAGCAATCTCTCCCCCGTAATGACCAATTGAGCTATCTCCCCCCCCCAGCAAAAACGAATAAACTCTACAAAAAGACGTCAGCAAACGCAAGTAGATGGATGATGTGTTTATAGCACGCAATCAATTGACCGAATGAAGTTTTTCTTACATGAGTATCGAGAAAAATTTTGAAAAAAATCGAAATTTATGAAAAAAAATGGTTTTTTTTTTGCAAAATTTTGTTTAGGCAACCATAGCCTTATCGAAGAAAGCAATTTACCAGGGATGGTGCTTTAGCCTTGTATCTGAATAGCAAAAACGGTTCTCCGCAGCACCTTAATATTGTTCGCAAAATTTTTTTTGTCAATTTAAGAAAGAAAAAAGTCGCTTTTTATGCATGTTTTATTGATTCTTTTTTCAATCTAAATGAAACTTTGGAGCTTTTTCATCGTAAATTTTGGCTTTCCATTTTCGTTGGAAAATATGTTTTATGATTTCATGTCATTCAAACTATTTTCAAGTGGTTATAAACATGTCTCAAGTACCTATTGAGCTATCTCCCCCCCCCCCCCCCCCCACGCGAGAATGGGGGGGGAGATTGCTCAATTGATCCGAGTTCAATTTCAAGTCGGTTTCTATACAGAATATATATAATTATCCCAACTTGTTCAAATTGACAATTTTCAAACCCCAATAACTTTGCGAAAAATCAGCACAGGTGATTTATCTCAGGATCTGTCGACACCAGGAAATCTTTCATATCGTACAAACGCCTCTATTACGCCATCGATTGCAAATTTTTTAAATGTTCAGTTTCAAGCAAGGAAGGTTCAATGTTCTTTTCAAGGAAGGTTCTTTAGTTTTGCTTGTTTGCAAATTCGTCTCTGTTGTTAGATTTCAGACTGCATAAATGAGCATAACAATTCGATATTTTGGGCTAATGGTCATTTTTCTGAGCTCAATTGAAGTAGGCGAAGTTAATTGGGTAATTTTTCATAGCACAGATAAATCATAGGAGACATCTTATACCTGCTTGAAAAATCTATATCAAATCGTTGAAGCAAGCGTCATCAAATCGGAATATAGACTTGTTTTGGCTTAATAGCTTGTTTAATAGCACAAAATGAATCACTTGCTCAGTCAGCTAACTTGCTCAATTTCATGAAAATTTAATTTAACTACTGGGTGGATACTAGTTACTTCAGGGTAGTTTCAGGGGGGACTTGGAACTTTTTGAAGTTTTTGTTCCAAAATCTGTTTTTTCTCGGCTCAACTGGTGTCTGCTCAAAGATTGTTGGCCTTGTTTCCGCTTCGTAAGGATTTTTTCAGTCGCTAATTTGAATTTAAGATGTCTTGCATTTAAATTGTCTTGCTTGGCATATTTGCCTAGAATTCCTGCTTGAAAATTCCTGCCTAGATGAAAATAGGTTTCGGCTCTTTTCCAGTCCCGCCTTTCAAAACACCGAGTATTATGTTTGTTTTACGTTTTTTTACGGCTAAATGCGTGATGTTACGCTGTAAAGTATGAAGAACAAATCTGTTCAGAATTGTCGATTTGTTCACCACGCAAAAATTTCATTGCTTTATGACAACGTTAAATTTTGACGACTTTTAAGAATGACGACTTTTCAAAATTCAAGGGGGGACTGGAAAAGAGCCTAGGTTTTATGAAATTATATGGGATTGCGTTTTTTATTTTACTTTTTTTTGGAGACGCTTTGCAAAATTTTATCAGTTTTATTTAAAATTTTTTTTTCTCAAAAATCTCTTCATCGGTTTTCAAAACGGGTACCCATAGAAACCCCGCCTAAACCCCTGTGTGCATGCATACTCACCTGCTCTATCTTTGCATTGACTCTTTGTCTACAGCTTTCGAATGATCACTTATAAAAAAAAAATTTCGTTTTTTATCGTTTGTTTTTGGGCTTAACATCATAAATTTTCCTTACACTAAACCCACAAACAAACAATTAAAACATCAAAACAATTTAAAACAGCAAACTTATTTTGATATTGTTTTTTTGCTCTTTATAGGTAACTCAAAATTGAAGTAGGTATACGCGGTATCTACAAGAATAGTACTAACAACATGAAAAGCTAAAACGTTTTTCTCGACACTGAAAGTTTTTGTTGAGATAAGCCAATAGTATTAATTGCTTAGAATAATTTTTTAAATGAAGCATCAATCGACTACAGCTGATGTGGCCGGGATCCAAAATCCTTCCAATAAAAATTGGTGAGCAAAAAAGTTGGAGCGAAGATTGATTTCAACTGAGACACCTATTTTCTTATCTTTAACTAGTAAAATATTCCAGTTTAATAAGTTAATGAACAAAGTGATTTATCATTTTTTTGAGAAAAGTCACAAAAGTTGATCTTCGCGGTTCTAATTAGATTTCATTTTTAACTTTAATTCAAATTACTTGAAAATAAAAATCAGCCAATTACTACAATATGGAAAGATGGAAAGTACAAATGGTGCAAAAGGTCTAAATCCCCAAAATTTGGACAATTCTTTTTGGCGCTGAAAGAAATTTTTGAATTTATCCTTATTTTAGCAGTCCTCGTATTCCAGCCATCCTAGTTTTACATCGTTACGGTCATCGTACCTTCTGCAAGGGTTACTCCTGTTGTTACTCCTGAATATGTTGGCAAAAAAGATAGTTATCTAAGGTTGAATCGCCGAAAGTTTGTTTGTGCCAGCCAGCTACGCTGTACGTAGCCAGCTACTCCTGACTGGTGTTTTTAAATTAGTTTTTAAATGATTTTTTAATTGGCTCATTAGTAAATTCAAACTCGGTTGCTTGGATTTCAATTTGGCCTTTAAGAAATTTGTTTATTCAGTCAAAGGCTTACCTGGTAAGGGAAATAAAGAGGCAAAGAAGCAATCTCAAGTTGGTCATGGCGCTTCTGATGAGCCTGAAAGCCGAGCTTTGAGAGACTCAGCCTGTCATTGATGACGCTTATTTATTCAAGTGGCCAGTGTAAAAGTGATTTGGAATGTCTCGCTATCAGATCCTATAAATTTTTGTCAATGTTTTGCCTTATCGAGCCCATTGGTGTTTTCATCAATTGTGATAAATAGTTACCTGACAAAAAAACAATATATGTAACGAATACATGTAACAATTAAATGAGCACTTAATTGTTTAGAAGTGGCTTGATTAAGCGAAGTAAGTGTGAAACTAATATTCGTCGAGAAAGAAAGAAAAGCAGTAAAAAATCGTGTTTTTGGCTAATTTTATCTGTGATTTTTCACACTTTTTTACTGGCTGTTCAGGTATTTAGCTTCAGGTGTGTATAAACCATCGAACAGAAGTTTTACGACAGCTTTGGCGAATTAAACAAAGTTTTATTGACGAAACAATTGAAAACAATGCAAACAATCGACTTGCTTCTGAGCCGGACAGTTGAGCATCGTCGAGCTCCGGGACAGCGGCAATAAAAATAAAATTTGCGACTTCACTAACTCTCAATTCTCACATCTTCTAATTTGTGATTTATTGCTGAAAATGCAAAACTAATCAAATTTTATCGCACCAGATGTGGACCAAGAGTTAGAAAAATGTGCGAAGTGCCGCGAGTCTTTAAAATATGGTGAAATTAAATCTCAGGAATATATTTTTTCTTGAGTTTTTTTTAAATTAAGAGAGTGCCCGTTATTACCCGGGCTGCAACAGTAAGTTGTTTCACCCTGGGGCTGAGCAAGTGTCTGCGTTTTGATCATATTTATTTAGAATCCATATGAAAATCTCAATCGCTTCTGACTTCAGGACAAAGTTTTTATGAAAATTTGGTTTATTTGACCAATCGATCAACTTAATTGGATCTGAGCCAAAGATATGCGTAATATTGAAAGGGAAAGGTACTTGTTTTCATTTGATTGACAATTGACTCGGTCGTCAGAAATGACCTATAATCAATAGTTTCAATTAAACTGAACTAAACATAAATACGCAAGCAGAAATTAATTGAATAATAACAATTTTGCTATTTAAGCTATTCCGATTAGGGTCCGACCACATTTATCTGTGCAAAAAACTGAAAAAAATGTTTCAACGGATTTTTTTTCTCAACCTTCATCTTTTCTGTTCATCAATCTAAATGATCTTACATTCTTATCATGAGTTTAAATGAAACTGAAAGCTTTTTTTAACATAAGCATTTAAAATTTCTTGAAAAGTGTTGCATTTCAGACAAGGATGAAAATCATATTTGAATTAACTGCATGGTATGATGTAATTTTGTGAGCTAACTCCACTTTTCGGAGTTGATACTTGTGAATGAAAAATTAGTTTACGCCCCCTTTCCAGTCACGTGATTTTTTTCCCGGATGTCGGATTCAGGCGCGGAGGCAGATGTAGAAAATGACCCGGTGGAGACATTACGCAACAGACACAAGCAAGAGAAAAAACAACTTCAGTCCACCATTTACAATCTCAGGAAAACTTGTCCGAAGAAAGAGAAAAGCACATTACAAGAGCGAATATCCATCTTGGAACGCGATCTGAAAGTGAAACAAGATCGCGAGTTGGATGACTTGCAGTATTCATTGTCGTCTTTTGCGATCGATTCCAAAGGGTTGCCTAGCAGCGGAATTAAAAAGGAAATCGAAGGAGACATTAACGAGGAGAGAAGTCGAGACGCTTCGGTTGATTTGAGTGTTCGAGCATCTCAGAGTTTGAACAACTCGGAGTATGTGGGGGACGATGAAGATGATGACGCACAGTGCAATGGGGGCTCGAGGGCGGGATCTTTTAGCTACCAACAGCAGAAGAAGAAAGGTGGCAAGGCGCAAAAGAGGAGAGAGAAGGCCGAGAAAGCCCACCAAGAGAGACTTGAAAAACAGGTATTTCAAACCAATAGTCCAAACTCAAATCTCATCTAAATAAGGATAGCGTGTCACTGCGCAAATGGCCCAGAATATTTTGACTTCAGTAATCTAAGAGAAACTTTTAAAAATAAGCAAAAAAAAAACGTTTCTTTTTTTTATTTATCTGACAGAATAACAAAAAAAAAATTGTTTGAAGTTATCCAAGTAGTGCTTGAACTTCGAAAAGTTGGGCTTAAGTCTCATTTCAAAAATATTGATAAAACTTGCACATTTTAATTCAGCTTAGCACATAAAGTTGCACATTTTGGTCCAAACTTATTTGAAGGCTCAGATTTCTTCTAAATACCTGAATGCCATTTCTAAAGCCCCATTGGTGGAGGTAATTGAGTTACTAGATTTTTGCGGAATTTTAGTTTTTGTTACACTTGCGAAGCGAGTCGAGTGTATTAGTACTAACCTTCTTTTTTCCAACCTAAGTCGCAATTAAAAGTGCTACTTTCATGGCACTTTGAACGATAGGCTGCTGCAGCTGTATAATGTCATATGTGCTTTAACAATTGATTAGTAAAGTTAACACAGTTGATGCATTTTTAATTCATCAAAAGAACCGAAAAAAGTTATTTGTTTCAAACAGCAGTACAAACATAAAAAGCTCGAAAGCTGCTTTTTGGCCGTGTCGCGCAAGTGTTTGCGAAGTGCAGATTCGCCTGTGTTAATAAAAATTGTTTTAATTTTCGTATTGCTCTGTTTAATAATCTGCAATAAATTAATTTACAAGCAAAAATGGTGTGATAGTATGAACTCTCTTTTTTTTCAACCTAATTCACAAATATCAGAGTTAATTTTAAAAATGTTCATTTTGATCAATAACCGGCTATTAAGTAAAGCCAATGCTAAGGAAATTAACACAGACTATAATATTACAAATAGCACTCTAGCTTCAAGGTATCATGGATTTGTAGCGTAGAGGTAGATAAGGAGACTCGCAACAAAATAAGAGCGTTCGAAACTGGGCAGGTCGGATGTTTTTAATGAACTTTTTCGTATACTAGTTAAAATGCGTCCGCTCAATGAATTGAGGCATGTTAGTTGGTAATTTTTTTTTCAAATTGACTGGTACTGCTAATGCGCCATAATTGGCTTGCGTCACTTAGCAATTATGTGGACTCATAATTGGCTCGCGTCACTTAAGAAATTTTGTAGACTTAAAGCTTTACTCATTCAGTTTTTTCCAGTAGCATTATCGGTCATATTTTTGCTTGTGTATGCGAAGTGCAACTTCGCCTCTGTGTTAAGTATGCCATGATTGTGTTTGCGATTAGCAAGCGTTATCAAATCTTAGCGTATACCACCTATTCTTGTCAACAACTTGTTTACTAAATCACTAAACCATTTTCTCAAATCTCTTTTTGTCTAGCAACAGACATATTTTGAGCATGTTTGCTTTTCAAATACCCGTTCTATTTATTTTTACACTTGCGGGAGCAAGTATAATGTTATCGGAAACTTGATTTTATTTCCTATAAACAATTTTTCTTACAAATCTTTCTTGCTTTATTATTCAAAGCTTATGATTTTCCAGTTTCGTTTTCACTTGGTCTAGAGAACGCTGTCGCCTTTGCACTTTTTTCAATATGTATGCAATTGATTTGTTTCGGTAAAATTGAATTGCGGTTGTTCTTTTGTCTGCTCAACTGTTGTCGGCTTATTTTTCACATCACGGATTTTTCTTGCGCTTCCAGGAAATTTCTTTGTAGCTGCAAGTGCAAGAGTGGGACTGAAATTTTATAACATTTTATTTTTTCGGCTCAACTTGTGTCTGCTCAAAGATTGTCTGCTTTGTTTCCTCGTCGTAAATTGTTTTCCTTTGCTAATTTAGTACTCAAATGTATGGCATGTTTCCCTAGAATAGAGACTTCTAGCGAGACACGAGAAAATTTAAATTTTGTAGACCTACATTTTTTTTTCATTATTTAATTTTTTCTACTTCTTATGTTTTTTTGATTTTTTTTGTTGTACTGCAAGTAATGCGCAGCTTCCCTTCGCCTTTTGTGTTTTTTTTTTTTTAGTTTAAATCTACCAACTCCGTTTTGGTTCAATGCCGTTTTGTTCCTTTTATTTGTTTTCGGCTGTGCGGTTTATATCTAATTGGCTTAGTGACTTCACCTTGCATCGTTGGGTTAGTGAAACAAGGTTCCTGTGAGTCTTTCGAGGGGGTAATTTAATGTTTTTTGGATTTTTAACTTTTTTTGACAATTTTTTTATTGACAAAACGATTTTTTTCTTCAAATTCTTCCGTTTGATTTTAATCAAATTTGTATCGCAACTGGCGCGAAGCTCAGCTTCGCCTCTGTGATATATTTTGTTAAGTTTGAAGGTTCAATGATCATGCATTATCTTTTTTCTTTGAAAATTTAATTTCTGCTTCAAAAGAGAGGCAGCAAACTTTTTCAGTCCATTCCCATAAATTGTGTTGTTCTAGTTGCGAGTGGTTAAACCAATTTTCAAACGGATTCAAAAATCGTTCGAGCAGCCATTGAGCTCCTTCCCTTATTCTCTGTCTTTGAAAATGATTTGTGCATGATTTGTCTCTCATAATTGTTTTTTTTGTCATCTTTAAATCTGCCAATTGATGATTTTTGTTTTGGCTTCCATGTTTTACATTCAATTTATCCCGTCCTTGGGCGCGATTTTCCCATAACATGTCAAAATGTTTGTTGGAATGTAGAAATTGCAGTCTGAAGCAGTTGAGAGATCGAACAAGGTAGCAGATGCCGAGCTGAAGGAGCTTGTTGGTGTCCTGACCTCGAGGAGCTTGCAGTTAGTTCAAGTACCTGCAGATGGGGACTGCTTCTATCACGCCATTCAGAAACACTTGAAGAGCGAGGAAAAAACAGACGATGATGCGTATTCAGCAGTACCGGTTAGTGGTTAGCTCTTGAAAAAGACTGTGTCCTTTTTGTACATTAAACCAGGGGCGGATCTAGGATTTTCTCGGGGGGGGGGGGGGGGGGGGGTGGGGGATTTCAAAATTTTGTCAACCTTTTAGGTCGACCAAATTGATTTTCTGAGCTTCCAAAGCACAACAAAGACCCTGTTTTGGCCGAAATTTCTGCGCCGCAGGCAAAATTATGAAAAAAGATAGGCCAAAAAAGGGGGCTTTTTTGAAAATTTTAAACAAAAAAATTGCGTTTTTTCGGCGCGCGCTCCCGCTCAAAATTAGTATATATTGGTGCAAAGGCGCCTTTAGAAACATTTTAGGGTCCGTAACCAAAAATGGATATCTCAAAATAATACAAAGGGGAAAAAATCTGGCTCCGGAGTTTAATGCAGGGGCGGATTTAGGGGGGGGGGACGCTACCCCCCCCCCCTAAATCCGCCCCTGCATTAAACTCCGGAGCCAGATTTTTTTCTGGTTCAGGAGTCAACCTATTTTTCCGTGCTTAAAACACCAAAAAGCTCCTTATCAAAAATTCTGCGGTGTCAGAACTTTTTTAAATGTTATTTCGAGACAATCTGGAGTTTGTTACTAGAAAATCGTTTTGATTTGGCACAGTCTGTCCCAGCTTTTCCCCCTCTTCCATGTCAGTGCTGTTTATATAGGTGATTTCGTTTTCGAAAATTCGTTTTTCGAAAAAAATTTCAAATTTGCTGGCAGAAAAGATATTGTAACAGTAAACGAAAATTTTTTTAGACTGTAGATGACCTCAGAAACACAGTATCCGAATTTTTGATGAGTCGCGAGAGCGAGTACGCTGCTTTCTTCGATCCCGAGGACAACAACAGCGAGGCGAGAACATTTGCCGAGTACTGTGACAAAATAAAAACGAATCACGAATGGGCAGGTCACATGGAAATCACTGCCATGAGTAACCATTTGAGTCGCCCGATTGAAATCGTACAAGCTGCCTCAAATAAGTCTATGCTGATTGGAGAAGATCAGAAATCAAATCCACCAATCACTTTGGTCTACCATAGAAATCTGTTCAACTGTGGAGAACACTATAATTTAGCATTGCCGATTTGCGAGTAGTTTTATTTACTAACCATCGTATTTCACGGCTTATAAGCACCCACTTTTGCGTGAAAAATTTCAAAATGGGTCGGAGCTTAGTTGGCGAATTCTCAAAAGCGTACAAAATTTATTGATAAGCAACCCGGGCCAAAAATTTCGGCGATATTACGTGAGTTTCTTAGTGGCCAAAAACTTCTTCTGGAGCGGCACAGAGGTTGCTACAATAATTTCAAAAAAGTGCATAGAAGACGCTTATTAAATAGGCATTGGCGTATTTTTATCTGCCATGTTATATCCAGATGTCCTGTAAATCCCTTTGCTCCTTTGGTGGGCCTATGAGCTGTAAGTGCGGTAAATGATTTAATGTCGTTTGAAATTGAGAGCAACACATTCAGATTTCTTGTCGCTCTTTGTTTATGATGGCAACGAGTACTTAATGAATTAAGTCAAGCTCTTGTTTTAATTTTTTTGAAATGCCTCAGAGATGCAACCATGCTGCAAAGTTCATCCTTCAGAAAATCATTCAATGTTATTTCTTTTCTCACAACCACTGTCTCCAGCCGCTATCAGGTTCTTTCATTAAAAGTTCAATTCATCTTCAACTGATTGACAACCCGTATACCTAACAAATCTTTGTTTCTGAACAGAACCATTTGTTTTCAAATTTTGGCCGATTTTTTTCATGACATGGTTAAACAGAGCATGGATTTTCTTAAAATACTATCTACACTTGCGAAGCAAAGTGTATTAGTACGAATTTTTTCCAAGTTAAGTCGCAAATAAAAGTGCTAACTTTGGTAGAACTTTTGAATCGGTAGGCTGCGGTAGCAGTCTAATATCATATATGCTTTGAGATTTGATTACTAAAAAGTTAACACAGCTGATGCAGTTTTAATTCATCAAATGAACCGAAAAAAGTTATTCGTTTCAAATAGTAGTTTAATGATAAAAAGCTCTATTTCAGAAATTTTCCAACTCAATGTATCCCGCAATTTTTTTTTGAAATGCGTAATTTATACATAATTTCGCTTTTTATTACACCCAAAATTGTGTCTTTTTGTATTTGGAGCTAGTTTTTGGGGATTTTAAGCATCCCTGGCTGAGTGGTTAGTGCGTCAGACCCAAATTTGCTAGGTCGCAGATTCGAAACCGACACGTAGTCGAGTTTCTGCTAATTCGAGGCTTTATTCTACTTTTTCTTATTTCATAGAGCTGCTTTTTGGTCGTGTTCTCACAAGTCTTCGCGAAGCGCAGCTTGGCCTCTGTTTTCTAATTTGGTTTCTGAACAGAAGTTGGCTTATTATGGGCTGTCTGGTGTGCAATTTTCTGAAGCTAGGTTATTTCTGAATTCTGGAAAAAAAAATTCCTAATGTTCGGTTTTTTCATTCTGAAACTTTCAAATTCTGGTCGCCAAGTCTCTAAATCTAATTTACTAACGAGCAAAATATAATTTACTTTTTTCCAAATGTAGAGCGTTCAGACCAATACGAACAAATAACTCTCAATGACGAAAAGACGAACCAACTTCTGTTTATAATAGGGAATTACAAGATGCAGTTCAAAC